CCACCAAAACAAAAGCAATTCATTTGGATACAAGCAGAAAGCCCAATTCGCTGAACAATCCTAGCTATAGAGGACCCCTTTGAACTTCTGCTCTGTGCATGTATACCTTTTCTGATAGGCCATGGACATAAGAATATAGAATTGACGTCTTCATAATGAGATCTCTATGCTGATTTTAATTCGGAATACGCCTAGGTGATTGTGGAGATTCGTTTAAATCATCTAATTAGCCACTGACGTAATTAGTTATGAGTAATTGGTTGTATGACAATATTATAGACTGTTGCGAATTTATGAAATAATTATAGAATGTTACATAATAAATTAGTTGCTGAAATATAATTGATGTATGTAGCCTTCATGGCACATAACTGTAATTTCATTCTTTATTCAATTATTCTTTATTCAATTATTACATAGTGGTACTATTAATTGTGTCATGTTTGAAATAATAATTCTATGGTAATATATTTTAAAATGATTCCGAGAATATCGTCATGATCTTAATTGACCTTTTAAAGTTCCATAATCCACATATCATTGTTTGTATATACTACAAAACTGGAAAACCAAAATGGTTTATCACATAATGATTTGTGTTTGCCAATTAAACCTTTATAATAATTGATATGTTATTGCTCCTAAATGTGTTCCTATCCACAATGAAGAGGAAAAGAAAAGAAGGAAGAAAAGGAGCAAAAGAGCATTAATGAAGAAATTATGGTACATTAAAATTCACATATTCAGATTTATAATCCAACAATGATGACAATCATTTTCATATGGTACCAATAGCACAATTCTATATGGCATGACTCTTACTTATCATTAAAGAAATTTATGGGGGACATGGAATTGTTCACTTACAAAGTGATGAAAAGTAGAGCATGTTTTTGTGACTTTACTTTGACAATAGCCTATGAATGGGTAACAATACTAGTTTGGTTGGTGACTTTGTTTTGACGTTTTAGTTGTGGTTGTGAATTCGTGGATAACATGAGAGAAATTTGAAGGAAAGTATTTGTTCAAATTTATGGACCTGTCGAAATATTAATTACTTAAATCTGTTAAAACTCAAGTTGGGGTTTTGCATGGTCCTATAGGTTGGAACCCATTTACTGAAAGAGTTGTCAAGGAGAACAATTCATGTAGTAATTTAACAGTGAAGTCCACATTGTGCATAATTCCTTAAAAATATTATATAGCAGCCATCAGTTATTTGAAGCTATAATTCAGGAATATTGAATGCAAAGTAACGGTCAGTTGGTTTTAATGCTCAATGTCTATAGGATGATCTATGTTGTAATTGTTTATTTGCCTGTTTATTTCATATGAGCTGTTGGTTGGCATATATTTATTATATTCATTTAAGTACTTTAATATACATGATTCATGTGAATATCAGTTGTGTATAATTATGAGGTATAAACTTCCTTCAAGGTTTTTGACTATTAGTCCACCATTAGATTTCTTACCATACAAACTGTTTTATTCATCTCACTAAATTCAAGTAGCCTATGCCTCTAATATTATTTCAAAATTAGTGGGGGCCTAATAGTTATTTGCTGATTGAAATTTCAGATATTAAATCTCAAATCAATCGGTGGTTATCCTTAGTTTTATTGTGAATGTAGAACACCTTTACTTTTACTACAGATATTATGCTTGAAATTATTGGGTACAAACTTCATTGCATGAGTGATAACTAAATTACATTAGTGAGTGGGATCTTAGGCAGTTTGTGATCATTTTAAAAAAAAAAAAATTCAACACTAACTAGCATTTAGATTCCAACTTTTGACCAAGTTGACACCTAAATCATCTATACGTTCGACTATATATTTAGCATTTTATTTTCAAGTATAGCGAGTATGTGATTGGTCATTGGTGATATATATATTTGCTATTGATTGTACAATGGCATTTTGAGTTAACGTTATTGAGTCGTTCCTGTGATAGGTACGGATTTTAATACTTACAACACAATGACTTTTGGTGTGGATGATTAGATTAGAATGGGGATGTTGATATCGTTTGGTCTAATACAAAAAGTTTTTCAGTTATATTATATTGATAGGCTGTTTAGAAAAGAACACTTTTATTGAAAAAGAAAATTTTTGAGATAAGTTGAAGTGTATTTAAATTATCCTTTGAGATGTTGGGATGGAATGGGTGTGCCAATTTTGGTATGGTCAAGATAGCATTGAGTAAACCAATAGTCCAACAAATGAACAAGAGGCGACCATTAGCAAAATTAAGCATGAGTTTTATAATAACTAAATTGAGAAATTTTTGTGTTTTGTATATATGCAAGCCTCGAGTTTACCTTTTCCCTTGAATTCAATTTGTTGAATATGTGATATGTGTCAAACGTTGGGCTAGATATTCTTGCAATATGGGGGTTGATGAAAATGCTACTTTTATGAAGTATAAATCACTTTAGCATGAGAATTCTTGGAAATGTGGGGGTAAATTTTAAGGTAATAAAATATATATGGAGGACTTGCTGAATTTGCTTAATGTTATTATAATCTCTCATTTGGAGAGATGTTTATATAAATTGTTTCATATCTAAGGGTTTTTCAAACAAATGCATTTTAATGTGTTGTTCGTGAGAGCTATTTGAAGATAGGTCAAATCAATGTCAATGAGAAGATATGAAAGTGTGCACACCCAGTGAGACACAAACATGTGAAGAGTAACTATTTTGAAATTTGTAAAATCTCAGCTAAATAGAGCTGGCGAATGAATTAAAAAGCTTTTGAGGAAAGCTATGAGACACAAATTTATAAAGGCTGATTAATTTGATTANTCAGCTAAATAGAGCTGGCGAATGAATTAAAAAGCTTTTGAGGAAAGCTATGAGACACAAATTTATAAAGACTGATTAATTTGATTTGTGAGCTTTCGAGGAAAGTCTTGCTTTTGAGAAAAGCTGTCTCAAGAACTGTCGAGGGGGATGTGCTTAAGCCCCTAAGGGAGTTACCTAGGGAGGTAATCCAACTTTGGTGATTGGGGACCCCATGAAGGAAGTTCAATAGGTAGAAACAATCTATACTGCGTGACTCATTAACACCGTTGTTGAAAAAATATCGTAAGAGGATATATTTTTATGCTCATTCCTATGGTAGAGGTGTATATGTAGTGTGACGGTAAGGAAGGATTTTATCTTGAATGAGTTTGAGGCAGGAACACTCCTGCAGGGTATTATGCACATGTACCCTTGCAGGCCTCACCTAACTGAGAGTAGTTGTGAGGCCGCGACTATGAAAATTGGGTTATTCTCTAAAAATTCTCATGAGAATCAAGATCAAGTGCATGACCATTAAACGCACTGACCCGCGAATCCTGACAAATATTGGTACTGTGTGTAATAGTTGAACTCTGGCTCAAAGGGTCTAGTTCAAGCCTTTGGTCACTATGATCCTTCAGGGGGAGACTGTTAACTCTAAGTGAGGTTCAAGTCTGGAAGACACCTACATCCATTGCACAATATAATAGTTGTCTATATTTTCTGTATATTATTTTTTTATAAATATATTTGGGTTATTTCGAAGTTTTCAAAACTTGTGGGAGATTGTTAGAATAAATTAAAATAAAAGTTTTAAAAACAACATAACTAATTATTTTGTATTAATTTTTCAGTTTTTAACTTTACTTTTGAAATTTAATTCTTGCATGTTCATGTCATTTAATTATAAAATTGATATAAATTTAATAGCTTGGAGGTTACATACTAATATATTTTAAAGCCTATTATTCAAGAGTAATTAAGACGGTGCCTATAAAACAAGGTGGCAATTTTGGGTAGAAGATGAGTTGTTTTACCATTTTTCCTATATGCTCATCTTTCGCCGAATGTTACTATTCTTTCTATATATTTCTTTTTGCCTATTATTACATTTGTATACCTACAAATATTTGATATTAGTTTACTTCGGATAACTTCGATTTGAGTCAAGTTTACCCCTTCTTTCCAGTGAGCGTGACCATTGAGGAGGTACTGTTGCGAGCGTCTGAGTTTGATCTTGGAGTCGCTGGTATCTGTACCCTCACGCGGGGAAGCTCAACTTCTTTAAAACAGTGTTCACACGACTCTTGGACTCGCAGTCACAAACCTGCTCTTTTTAATTATAGTATGAAATTTATTCTATTCTAAATTGATTATTATTTTATATTTATTTGTATATTCTTGTTAGTTTCTGATCTAGATATTATTTTGTTAAGTAAAATTATGTATAATTATGTCAATTTTCCCGACAAATTTTTCAAAAGTTGATATAGACACCTTTAAACAAATATTAAATCGACGTGGCATCATTAGATTTCACTTCCACAGCTGACAGTCATGGTGGACCATTGACACTGACCCAACAATAACCCTCTCCTTTGGCGTCTCCGCTCACTTATTTGTACTCAATGACTTAACTCTATGCTTATGCATAATACCAAAACATCTATAGATCGCTCCTTCGATCATTCAACCACAAATTAAACCATGGCCAGATTAATTAAGTAGGTGTTTAAGTGTAAAATCATTGACCAACCCTATCTTCCTTCCTCTAAAGCTCAAGCGGCCTTGCTAAGGAGCTTCCTTGCTTATGTCAGTTGCACTTGAAGACAGTTTACCAGAGGATCTTGCTCACTGGTAGGACCAATAATGGGGTGATGGATTTTAGTACCAAGATGAGGGGGGAGAGAGGAATTAGAGGGATTTGCATTGTTACCTGGGTCTACTGTGTTCAGATTTCAGAGGCTGGGTGACATGTACCCATTTTCAAATTTTACTCCAAAAATGACCAATAGTGTCCGCTATATGCATAGTAACAGGATGATTGCATTGTCAGATTAATTTTTTTATTGAAGTCATATTTATTGGTTTTACAAGTGAATGGTAAACATGGTTAAAAGTTCTAAGTTCAAACCGTCCTTTATGGAAAGGATGGACAGATGACGGATAATTTTGAATTGGTTCTGATTCTCTCAGCTTTTAGAAAGATATGGAAAGAACTTGGATAGGCTTAATTAAGTTCTGGAAGCATCACACTTCTATATCAAAACGTGAAATTCAGGTCATGGAAGTAAGGTACATGATTGTTACTTCACCAGCTACTATGACCTATGTGAACTACGAGTGCTTTTATTTAGATTTATACCAAGAACTTAACTGGGTTCAACTTGTTTTTGTTAACTTGCAATGTAATCTCTGCTTTCATGCAGTTATTTGAAAATATAACAAATTTGTTTCAAATTCATTTATTACTAACTCATGTAAGAATGTTGGCAGGAATTGACGCCTGGAGGTGTAAACTCCCCTGTACGTGCTTTCAAATCAGTTGGTGGGCAGCCCATTATAATGGATTCTGTCATGGGATGTCGCATGCGGGACATAGATGGTAATGAGTACATTGACTATGTTGGTTCATGGGGTCCAGCAATAATCGGTCATGCAGATGATGAGGTTCTATTCCTTGTCCATGTTTTTACTATATTTAAGCTTGTAATATCCATGAATGTTGTGCATCTATGGCCAATCATGATACTCAAAGTTCGAGCATTTGACAAACAGTAAACATGTTTGAAAAGTTACTGTTTTCCTTCATGTTTTTATGCCTGTCTCTTTCTGAAGGGATCTGTTATTTTTGTATCCCTTTTTATGCATTTCTTTCATAGAAATTTGTCTTTTTTGACATATTTTTTTTCACATTCTCAAACGATACTCTACTCAACAAAGCATTTTGCCAATATTTTTGGAATCGGCTACATAAATCTTGTTTCGCCATTGTGCTATGGTCGACCTAAAAAATATTGGGACAAAACTTTATTGAGTTAAGTCGAGTTGAATTGTCCTAATATCTACACGAATATACTTCAGCTTCATGTTCCTATTGTGTCTGACGAGTTTTATGCTGGTTATCAGTTACCTAAGGGAACCCTGCTCTTTTTTCGGGCGTGGGGCCTGGTGTGCAAAAGAATTGGCAGGCATAGTTCTTCATAAGCGATCACTGTCTCAAATAATGACTTCTTAAAATTCCTTTTCCATACAGTGCCACTTATGCTTTTCAGTCGAGGCAAAATCCCTTTCTTCCTGTCTCAGCATCCAAATTAACAATGTCAGTTACCTATTGCTGTTAATTGTGATTGAAGTAATCCTGAAATAAACCTTACCTGAAGGTACTAGCAGCCTTGGCTGAGACAATGAAGAAGGGAACTAGCTTTGGTGCTCCATGTCTTTTAGAAAATGTCTTGGCAGAGATGGTCATTTCAGCTGTTCCAAGTATCGAGATGGTTCGGTTTGTCAACTCTGGCACAGAAGCATGCATGGGTGTGCTCCAGTTAGCCCATGCCTTCACTGGCTGAGAGAAAATCATCAAGTTTGAGGGTTGTTACCATGGCCATGCGGATCCATTCCTTGTTAAGGCAGGCAGTGGGGTTGCTACCCTTGGACTCCCTGACTCCCCTGGTGTTCCCAAAGGAGCTACTTATGGAACACTAACATCCCCTTTCAACGACATTGCAACTGTGGAAAATCTCTGAGACGCACAAAGGAGAAGTTGCTGCACTTATCCTTGAGCCTGTTGTCGGAAACTCTGGCTTCATTGCACCCAAACCTGATTTTCTCAATGCTCTTCACAATATCACCAAAGAAAACGATGCTTTCCTCATCTTTGATAAAGTTATGACTGGGTTTCGTTTGTCTTATGGTGGAGCTCAGGAGTATTTTAGCATAACTCCTGATTTAACTACAATCGCGAAGATTATTGGAGGTGGGTTTCCAGTCGGTGCATATGGAGGAAGAAGGGAGATTATGGAGATGGTGGCACCAGCGGGACCAATGTACCAGGCGGGGACCCTCGGTGGAAACCCACTGGCAATGACTGCAGGAATTCAAACTCTCAAGAGGCTGAAGGAGCCAGGAAGTTATGACAACTTAAATAAGATCACAAGTGAACTTATTCTGGGTATTTTGGATGCTGGAAAGAAGGCAGGGCATGCAATACGTGGTGGGTATGTAAGTGGGATGTTTGGATTCTTTTTCAACGAAGTGCCTGTTTATAACTTTGGGGATGCGAAGAAGAGTGACACCTCAAAGTTTGCAAGTTTTTATAGAGGAATGCTGGAGGAAGGTGTTTACTTTGCACCCTCCCAGTTTGAGGCTGGATTTACTAGCTTAACGCATACTTTTGAGGATATCCAACAAACAATAGCAGCTGCTGAGAAGGTTTTCCGGCAACTCTAACCTCAGTAGTGGTGACTCTTTCACTCTTCCATGGACTAATACATGGACTGAATGCTCATTCGGGAAAGTTGACTCCTGGTTCTGGAACCTAGGGGGTTGCTCCGAGAAATCCTTTCTTTCTCGTCTTCAATATTTTGTTATTGACAATAGTGTTTTCCTCTTGTTAAGAAACTGTATGATTGTTAATCTTTTCTAGCCAGATATGAGATTGTTGGTTAGACCTGTTGTATCGTGTGTGATTGTGGGTGTATCCTCTTCTGAAAAACATCATGTAATTTCAATGAAATTGCAATTCTCCCTCTTTGCCCCCCTTTGGTTTGGAGTCGGATTTTTCTCTGACCATCATTACACTGCAGTTCTAAACTTCAGTTGAATTCCACAAATTATGTTCTCTTCTAAGATTTACTATAAACTTTGTTAGGGAGACATATTTACGCAGTTTTGGGGGCAACAAGGGCATGATCCAAGTTAAACACCGATTAAGGGAATAACAACTGTGCGAAGCTGATGGGACTTTTCTGAAATACCCTATGATGAAGACACGTGTCCTCGATTTTACTAAAACACTTGTTAAGATCAAGCACCATCGGCGCACGAATATCCTCGCCCCCGAGGTACCGGCATATAGGATCATACATTCAGTATATTTTACAACCGACACGTGGCCTCGGTCTGATATGTACCTCGGTCGGCATACCTCCCTCGGTCCCCGAGATGAGCCTTTCCTCGGTGCCGAGAGGTACCCCGTCCTGGACGCTTCCTCTACTCCAGGATAAGCTATTGACGTACAAGTTATTAGCCTAGGCTAGTCTAGGCTATTCATCATGACCTCGTCTTACACAAGTAATGTCAGAACGTACTGGAATACAGAGGTCACAGCCAATAGGGGATGGATGTGTGGCATATGATATCACATCAAAGACAGACAAACCGCATGCCGTTGCTGACACGCGACTTGGGAAAGCAAACAATTAATTGCACCATTCCCTTGATGAGACCGCATTCAATGCGGTAAGGCTCGGAAATGAAAGGCAATAAATGCTCCTATTACAGAGCATTTATTGCATCCTCCCCGAGAAGAGCATATTGTACCGTCGGCATCCCGATGATCCAGCATTGATTGCTCGGGACCCCGAGCAGTTAATTAGAGAAGACATTCCTCATCAGAATCAATGCACACGCTACCAGTGCCTAATGATCACCTACTGACGACACTGACAGCAATCATGAGCTTTTAAGGTATAAATACTCCTTGCAAAAGGCAAAGCGGGTATGCAACAACAAACTCTCTATTACAATACACACTCAGTGTTTTCTCTATCCTCTCTCTCTCTCTCTCAAAGACTGACTAGATCGTCGGAGGGGATACGCCGAAAAACACTCCGGCGCCCTTCTAACTTGTTCTTCTTTGTTCCAGGAACCCCTTTCAGCCTTACTGGATCGTTCTTCCACTCCCCTAGGGTCTCTCGTTCCCGTTCCAGGTTACCACCGGACCTCGCAGGCTATCCCAAGCAGCGTGGTTGGTCACTCAACCGGTTCACTCGAAGTTCACTAGGGGAGAGATCTGTTCTCGTTTTTTATATTGTGCAGAATCTTGCACGCACAGACCCTTACTGCAATTTGGAGCCAAAATTTGTGGTCCAAATAATGTGACAGCCTCTCTTACCCAACAAATATGAAACCCAACACTGCCTTATTGATCGGATGAATTTGCCACATTATTCGGTCCTAAAATTTGGTAGTTCTAACATTCCTGGAGAATGTACATAAACTTCCATGGTATCATTAGCCACCACGAAACCGCTATTTCCTACCATCTTTTCAACCAGTTCATAACCATACAATACAGTATATCTTAATACAGATTATCAGCATATACACGTAAAACTTACACTTATTTACTTTTAGACTGTTGCTTCAGTGTATTTTTTTTGTACTAGTGGGTTTCTTACTAATAGGTGATTTATCAAGAGGAAAAATAAAAAAATATATATATATCGGAGGGTATCTAGATCTGTCCGAAAGCACTCCAAACTGCCAACTGCGCCTGAGGTTTAATTCGGGAGACTCTCCAGTGCCACGACGCCGTCATGGTCACCGTCATCCTCGGCGGTTGCCGCCTCCATTTCCCACTTTTCCAGCCAATTATGAGTCCATGCGAAGACAATCACAACGAAGAAGACGAGCCAGCCCGTGTTGCCGAAAGGGTACTTCTGCCACACGGTAGTCATAGCAAGACTTGGGAAAAAGCTCACAAACCCAAAGTCAGTCTTCGGGCGGAGCATATGAACAATTGACAGAAACATGAAGCCCAAACACAATTCGGCAACGACAGCATGGTAGGTATCTTCATGGAAGAGGGACATCACACTGGTAAGAACTACCATGAATGAGTTTTCCAAAGCTTTACCAAACCAACCATACTCATGTTGTATGATTTCGCTCTTTCGAGCCCTGCCAGAGAAGAGAAAGGAACCCAAAACCACGGCCAAAGCTATAGCTAAGTAAGCTTTGGCAAAACCAGAACCCATGTTGGCTCTGAAAAAGCTAGTACTCATGAGGTGGAAGGAAGACACTAAAGCAGAGGCAACTCCCAAAGCAAGTAGGAGGACTGGAGGGTAAGCAAGAATGTTCCTTTTTGCCTTTTGGAAGAAGTTCCGGACTTCAATGCAAATATCAGCCATGACTTTGTTTCGCAGAAATGTCTTTGAGCTCTATGGGTTTCGGCTATATATACTGGCGTTTGGTGGAGGGAAATTTTAAAGAAGCCATGTCATGAATTGAATGTTTGCCCGCTCATCAAATGGCAGAGGAAATCTTAAAGAAGCCGTGTGACGAAAGGAAAATGCTATTTCAACTTAATTTTGGAATTTAATCTAAGAATTTAATTTAATACAATTATTGGATTAATTATGGATTCCATTTAACATTAGAACTCACAATTAATTCAATAGTTGCATTGAAGCCACATCATTAGGTTCTCAACTAAAGTCCTAATATCATTGCCCGTCATGAAAAGGCATTTTCATGACATGGTTTCTTTCAATAATGCTGACCAAATTTCAGGGTTAAATTTAGAATTCAAATGACATGATAGTTGACTTGAGTTTTTTTGAATTAATGTCATGTAATTTGAGTCCTAATAAAAATTTCAAATAATCAACTGACATGTCATTTGGGCTCTAAATTTAATCCCAAATTTTGATCAGTCTAGCATTACTCGATTTCTTTATAATTTTCTCTGACACTATCAAATTTTAAGATAAAATATAGAGTTTAAATGATATGATAGTTAATTTAAATTTTTTTATTTAATATCATGTTATTTAAATTTTAATAAAAATTTTAAATAATATACAATTATATTATTTGAACTCTGAATTTAATAGTGGTTCTATGTAAAAAAGCCATGTCATGTTGCCTTTTCATGACATAGCTTCTTTAAAAATTCCTCCGACATTTTAAAGAAGTGATGTCATGAAAAATTTCCTCCGTACGACATTTGATGAGTGGGCAAGCATTTCTTAGATAATGCACACCACTTGTGTCAGTCACGTTGGTGTGTGTACTTATACAAAAATTTAGATTCGAATCTCCTCTATTACTTATTTTTTAAATTTTTCTTAATATATTGATATGTGTAAAAATTTGAATTTTAATGAATAATTTTTATTTTTTTTTATGAATTTTTTTTTTAATAATGGTTAACACTCCACCAAAAATAAAATGAATGAAAAATAATCTTGTCCATTAAAATTCAAAATTTTACACAAATCACTCGTCTAACACAGCATTAAGTGAAATTGAAAGGAAGGAATAATGGAGAGGATCTAAATCCCAAAAATTTCTCCTCAAAATGGCAAATAAAAGAAGGGTTAATTACAGTATGTCCCCTCTAACTATGTCTTTTGTTATAATTAACTCCTTATAATTTTAAATCCTGTAATCCGTCTCTTCCAAGTTTCAAATAGATTAAATTGACAAAAGTGAATGGTTGAACACCTAAAAGAATTATCACACACTCTGCCTTGTATTTCTCATATTTTTTTCTTGAGATACCAATTTTGCCCCTAAAAAATAAGTAAATTGAAAAATCAAGATTAAAAAAATAAGAAAACCTTTGCCTCTAACTCATCACAAGGAAGGGAAGGATGTCTACAAGAAAATGGAAAGGAATGAGAGCTAACCATCCGAGATTGCATAAGATGGAAAGGTGTAAGGGTAAAATGGAAAGTATAAATATTTGGTACAAGAGAAAAGTAGATGTAAGAGTAATTATCTCTTTTCAACAAAATAGGAAGCACTTGAATTTGATATGTCTAACTTTTCTCAATTTTTATTGTCTAAAAATAACTATTGGAGTTAATTGTAAGATATTCAAACTTAAATGAGACTATTTTTTGAAATTAAAACCTGAATGAGTAAGCTATGAACTATTCAAAGTTAAAAGGGGGTATTCTATAATTTCTATTCAAAAATTAGTAATGTTATTGAGATTATAAAAAATGGATTTAATTTGTTGATATGACAGTGTCATTGTTCAATAACATTGTTGTCATTGTTCAATACCATTGTTGTGACTGCAACTCTTTGATTTTTTTATTGAGACTTCATCACTTGACACATCATTATGTGAGTAAATTAAATCAATTTTTTAGATCTCAATAGTTTTACTCTTTAAAAATTAGACAATGCTATTTAGATGCGAGAGTTAATCGAATGATATAATCAATCGTTGCCATTAAATTGAAAGTAAGTTCTATTTAATTTTAAAACTTTCAACTAATCTAATTGATGTATTAAATTAAATCTCTATTGAAGTGCTCAACAGAATTAAATATAATTTGTGAATTTGATGATATGCCAATGATATACATGGTCCAAGTGAAATACGCTTGATACATTATCATTTTAGCACATAAAATTAAAATTTTAAGTTCAATAAAATATTAATTTTTAAGGGTGATTCAGTGATTGAGTTTAACTTTTAGTAAACTCAAAAGTTTCAAGTTTAATCCATTCTCATACCTATTAAGAGCTAGTCATCCTTATTTTTTACAAACATGTTCTATCTCGACTTAAACTACGGTGGCCATCGCTGAGTCGGAGCGAATAGTCAACACAAATCTAAACATCTAATAAGAAAAAAAGTTATGTCGCAACACTCCACATCTAAAAATTATTTTATGCGAATGAGGATTTGGAAAATTTTGTCCATTCAAGTTTTTTTTTTCCAGGGGGAAATTTTGGATTGTTGATATCGTATGATAATGCTAATATTGTATCACCGTTACGAAATAAACGGTGTCAATTTATTAATATTCTTTCATGTAAAATATATTGATAGTCTCCTGTCAGTTGTCTGAATAATTAAAGCTTATGGATTATGTGACTTTTGACAATAACCAGCACATGTGGGCCTTCCATGAATTGTTTGGAAAAGAACCATCATTTAAAAACTAGATAAGTTGTATGCAAAGTTGTTGGCAAATTGAGATTATTAGTTTGTGATGAAGGAAGGCTCCTGCGAAACTTTCTACTACGACTTCTGGATGTTATTTTGGGTGGGTTTTTTTTTTTTTTTTTTTTTTTGGGGGGGGGAGTTGAGGGGGAATAGTGAAAGACTGAAAATAGGTTCGGTTTGGTTCAAAATGGGAGTCAAAAGGGTCGATTTGACTATGGTTTGAAGAAAAATTCAGTACCATAGCTCAATTTATTTTATATATATATAGATATTTTTATCACTATGGTTGTACTAAAAAAAATAGTAAAATAATTATCACAACAGTGATAGAAATATTTATAAATGTGATAAAAATATTCACAAATATGATAAATTATCTGCAAAGGGATAATTTTTTTTTGTACCTAATAAAAGTGGTAAAAACATTTACCATAAATGTGGTAAAAAAACTCATAAAAGTGATATATCAATCACAAAATTGATAAATTTGTTGGTCGTAAAATGACATAAAAATTATAAAAATACCTTTTAAAATAATAAATTTTAGAGGTATGATACTAGGGGTGTCAATTTTATCCATTAATACGAACCCAGCCCAACACAAATATAAATAACACGAGTAATAATTGGGTCAAATTAAAGTTCGATACGAATAACACGATTAACGAGTACTATAAATAGAAAATGAGTATTCAACAAGTATTATAGATTAAAAAAAATTATTTATTTTTTAAATTGTATTATATGAGTTATTATGAAATTAAATAATTTTTTATTGACACAAATCTGACACATACTGAAAGTGACTTGACACAAAAATAACACAGATACAAAAATAATATTACACTACGTGACCCGATTGACACTCCTACGCAATACTAAAAAATTTTAAAGGGTACCTTAGTTAAATTCCGAAAGGGTGGAATGATATCAATTAGACTACGTAAGGGATTATTGCGGAAGAGACAATTCATCGTCAAGAGAATAAACAGCATACAAAAGTGTGGTTTGGACCTTGTATGGACCGAAGGCATTCCACAAATGGCCCATGGACATCGGGCTTGGACGTTATTACGGTAGCTCGTCTCGTCAGGTTGTGAGGAGTCCAATAGATTAACAGATAGAAACTAAAGGCCCAATCAAGAAAAGGAGAGCTGTCAGCCCAAAACTGGGCCAATTAGTCCAACAATATTTTAAAATAGACAAAATTGAAATAATCAACAAAAATTAAAAAATAAAAATTGAGGCTAAAAGATCCATTAGGACTGGACTAATGGATAGACCATGGAATTTCTAGACGGGATGGCACGCTCATTCTTCTGACCAGTCAACGGCCCAATTTCACAGCTTGTGGCCCCTCATGGGCAGATGACTGATAGGCCAGGTAGACCCAGCCCATTTTTGAACTAAAGGCCCAACCCAATCTATGCAGCGTCCTCTCATACGATTTATCACGATCCATCACGCATCCTTGATGTACCACAACGTCCATAACAACTGGCCCACTACATTGTTATATCTCATTTATATCGTGTTTGGTTTACATTTGAAGTAATGTAAAATTCCATCCTTATATCCAGTCTAATCCGAAACTAAGGGCGTGGTACTATGGTCATTTCAAATTATAATACCAAACATAACTGATTTTATACCACCTATCACATGAAATCGGTTTAAACCATATATGTGGTGTTAATTAATATTTTTAATGCCTACTCAATATTAACTCATTTAATATTAAATTTACCAGCAAGTGATTTAGTCCAATTGCACTCCTACCTAAAACAAATAAATTTTAAGGAATGGTAAGTTTCATCGATTTCGATAGATGGTTAACCGATGAAGCGTATACTAAGTCAATCCTATCCTATCAATTAGGATAGGATTGACTTAGTACAAATCATCCAAACATTCTCAAACTTAATAAACTATTAACCATTGCAAGAAATATATGGCTAAGTAAGAATGGTGGTAAATATTTCTTTCAATGCAACAATAGCAAACTCTCAAGCCAGTGGAGTCCAACAGCTAGATGATGATGTTCACAAGTACGTAGCATCATTCTTGCTGAAAAGGAAAGAACTGTTCAACCATTTGGGAAATGGATAATTGTAAGGAATTTCGAGTCTATTGCTCGAGGTTTAGGTTTTTTATACAATCAAAAATCGTTCATATCAAGTTATTCTTGGACTCATGGTTATAACGTAAACTTAACTTGCACATATATAATCATTTGTAAATCATACACATGATTGTGATAAACAAAAGCATCTCTTGAAAGACCTAAACTTAGGATCTCAATATAGCTTAGTGTCCCTAACTGTTTTTATGGGTTGCTAAAGGTCTAGGAGTACATCAAATTGTTTGTGCAACTGATAAAATGATGTTCTTGTTCTGGCATACATTAATTTTTTTTTCTCTTTCCTCTTTGATCTTGTGAACTCTTCTAGGCTATGAACATGTATATAGTTCTTAATTGCTTTAGTATAAGTTCATCAATATGAATCAACCACAAGACATTGATATGGTGGGCCAGGTTCACTTTGAATTATGCTTACTTTCCAGTCACTGAACACTACAGACAGAATCATAATCATCCAACTATTTTGACTTTTGCGACTGCCATTGTTTACAAAAATGGGTAAACCCACTTGAATAACATGAATAGCTTTTCTCTACAACTGCTCATATGAGATTAAAAGTAGCACAAGTGGACAGGCTTTCACAACAAGAAAATGACAGCCCTTTTTTATGTTTCTTTGGGCTCTAACTATATGTACTATGTGAATATCCATATGAAACTATGGTTTGTAAGCTTTATAACTAGAGCCGACTTTAGCAATTTTTCAGCAGGAGATTGATATTCTTGAGAAACTCTGAATTTCTAATTTGTTAAGATGTCATCGAAATTGGAATAGACGTCAGTGATTAATATGTTCCAAGTCGGTGACTCATCCAAGTTGAGACTAACATGTGAGGCTTCCGCTATCGTAAAATTTGATAAGAGTGAGATATACGCAGACTGTTTATATGTATATCTCAAAATTATAACGCCTAAGTTCCTGTGGAGTAAAGTGAGACGACCAAGTCACAAAGTAATTAAAATTTTTATAATTAAGTAGGAAGTCACTCCTGACTCCCGAGTCCTGACTATGGCTCCTGACTGAACCACCATCACCACCTTCGACTCAGCGGCCAAAAACCCCAAATATGGCATGACTCAAAATTCTCGTATCTTCACATTCAAACCCATTCTCTTTGCATTCTGCAAAAACCCTAAATGTCTTTACCAATGACCTAACCTTACACAAGATTCTGAGGAGGAAAATTAAGGATGAGTCAACCATCTGTGATCCTTGCAACGGCAAGCTATGATCACACTATTCGGTTTTGGGAGGCCAAAAGCGGGCGGTGCTATCAGACCATCAATACCCATAATCTCAAGTTAATCGGCTTGAGATAACACCAGATAAGAAGTACTTGGCTGCAGCTGGAAATCCCCACATTCGGTTATTTGATGTTAATTTGAACAGCCCTCAGCCTGTGAAATTGGATGTATTCAGGTTCTGAAGATGGGCACGGTAAAGATTTGGGATTTGAGGGCTCTGGGTTGTCAGAGGGAATATGAAAGTCGGGCAGCTGTTAATACTGTTGCTTTGTACCCAAATCAGACCAAACTGATATCTGGTGACCAAAATGACAATATTCGAGTATGGGACTTGATGGCAAATTCATGCAGTTGTGAGTTGGTGCCAGAGGTGGATACAGCTGTAAGGTCTTTGACAGTAATGTGGGATGGAAGCATGATTGTGGCTGCAAACAACCGTGGAACATGCTATGTTTGGCGCCTGTTGCGAGGAACACAAACTATGACCAATTTTGAGCCATTTCATAAGCTGCAAGCTCATGATGGATATATTCTTAAGTGTCTCCTGTTACCTGAGTTCTGTGAGCCCCATAGGTACCTAGCCACTGCATCTGCAGACCATACTGTGAAAATATCGAATGTAGATGGCTTCACCTTGGAGAAAACTTTAGTAGGACATCAACGCTGGGTTTGGGATTGTGTCTTTTCTGTAGATGGTGCTTATCTTATCACAGCTTCTTCTGATACAACGGCAAGGCTTTGGTCTATGTCTACAGGCGAAGATATTAGAGTGTATCAAGGGCATCATAAAGCCACAGTTTGCTGTGCTCTCGATGATGGGGCGGAACCCTCCTCATCCTGAACCTGAAATAAGACTAATCTTTTATTGAAACGCAAAATCCTCCGGCACCATGTCACTGCACTTGCTTGCGCATGCATCTGCAAAATATTTTCGCTATGTCCAGGATAGAGAAAATTCTGTACTTCTATGGTTACTTCCCGTTTTAGATTGCTGCTTGGTTTGGGTCCCCCTACCTTTATTTTGTACAGNAGAATGGTGGTAAATATTTCTTTCAATGCAACAATAGCAAACTCTCAAGCCAGTGGAATCCAACAGCTAGATGATGATGTTCACAAGTACGTAGCATCATTCTTGCTGAAAAGGAAAGAACCNTTTATTTTGTACAGATCTAGTCTTGTACAGAATGCAGGTATCTTTTGGTCCCGTCGGAACCTTTACAGAGATCACTACATTGACAATAATTGATATTTGAGGATTAGAAGTTGCCTGCTGAAACCGGGATACAATTGTTCTATTGTCATATTGGTGCATTTAGTTTCGTTGTCAAATCTTTNTTTATGGGTTGCTAAAGGTCTAGGAGTACATCAAATTGTTTGTGCAACTGATAAAATGATGTTCTTGTTCTGGCATACATTAATTTTTTTTTTCTCTTTCCTCTTTGATCTTGTGAACTCTTCTAGGCTATGAACATGTATATAGTTCTTAATTGCTTTAGTATAAGTTCATCAATATGAATCAACCACAAGACATTGATATGGTGGGCCAGGTTCACTTTGAATTATGCTTACTTTCCAGTCACTGAACACTACAGACAGAATCATAATCATCCAACTATTTTGACTTTTGCGACTGCCATTGTTTACAAAAATGGGTAAACCCACTTGAATAACATGAATAGCTTTTCTCTACAACTGCTCATATGAGATTAAAAGTAGCACAAGTGGACAGGCTTTCACAACAAGAAAATGACAGCCCTTTTTTATGTTTCTTTGGGCTCTAACTATATGTACTATGTGAATATCCATATGAAACTATGGTTTGTAAGCTTTATAACTAGAGCCGACTTTAGCAATTTTTCAGCAGGAGATTGATATTCTTGAGAAACTCTGAATTTCTAATTTGTTAAGATGTCATCGAAATTGGAATAGACGTCAGTGATTAATATGTTCCAAGTCGGTGACTCATCCAAGTTGAGACTAACATGTGAGGCTTCCGTTATCGTAAAATTTGATAAGAGTGAGATATACGCAGACTATTTATATGTATATCTCAAAATTATAACGCATAAGTTCCTGTGGAGTAAAGTGAGACGACCAAGTCACAAAGTAATTAAAATTTTTATAATTAAGTAGGAAGTCACTCCTGACTCCCGAGTCCTGACTATGGCTCCTGACTGAACCACCATCACCACCTTCGACTCAGCGGCCAAAAACCCCAAATATGGCATGACTCAAAATTCTCGTATCTTCACATTCAAACCCATTCTCTTTGCATTCTGCAAAAACCCTAAATGTCTTTACCAATGACCTAACCTTACACAAGATTCTGAGGAGGAAAATTAAGGATGAGTCAACCATCTGTGATCCTTGCAACGGCAAGCTATGATCACACTATTCGGTTTTGGGAGGCCAAAAGCGGGCGGTGCTATCAGACCATCAATACCCATAATCTCAAGTTAATCGGCTTGAGATAACACCAGATAAGAAGTACTTGGCTGCAGCTGGAAATCCCCACATTCGGTTATTTGATGTTAATTTGAACAGCCCTCAGCCTGTGAAATTGGATGTATTCAGGTTCTGAAGATGGGCACGGTAAAGATTTGGGATTTGAGGGCTCTGGGTTGTCAGAGGGAATATGAAAGTCGGGCAGCTGTTAATACTGTTGCTTTGTACCCAAATCAGACCAAACTGATATCTGGTGACCAAAATGACAATATTCGAGTATGGGACTTGATGGCAAATTCATGCAGTTGTGAGTTGGTGCCAGAGGTGGATACAGCTGTAAGGTCTGTAAGGTCTTTGACAGTAATGTGGGATGGAAGCATGATTGTGGCTGCAAACAACCGTGGAACATGCTATGTTTGGCGCCTGTTGCGAGGAACACAAACTATGACCAATTTTGAGCCATTTCATAAGCTGCAAGCTCATGATGGATATATTCTTAAGTGTCTCCTGTTACCTGAGTTCTGTGAGCCCCATAGGTACCTAGCCACTGCATCTGCAGACCATACTGTGAAAATATCGAATGTAGATGGCTTCACCTTGGAGAAAACTTTAGTAGGACATCAACGCTGGGTTTGGGATTGTGTCTTTTCTGTAGATGGTGCTTATCTTATCACAGCTTCTTCTGATACAACGGCAAGGCTTTGGTCTATGTCTACAGGCGAAGATATTAGAGTGTATCAAGGGCATCATAAAGCCACAGTTTGCTGTGCTCTTGATGATGGGGCGGAACCCTCCTCATCCTGAACCTGAAATAAGACTAATCTTTTATTGAAACGCAAAATCCTCCGGCACCATGTCACTGCACTTGCTTGCGCATGCATCTGCAAAATATTTTCGCTATGTCCAGGATAGAGAAAATTCTGTACTTCTATGGTTACTTCCCGTTTTAGATTGCTGCTTGGTTTGGGTCCCCCTACCTTTATTTTGTACAGATCTAGTCTTGTACAGAATGCAGGTATCTTTTGGTCCCGTCGGAACCTTTACAGATAAACAAACTACATTGACAATAATTGATATTTGAGGATTAGAAGTTGCCTGCTGAAACCGGGATACAATTGTTCTATTGTCATATTGGTGCATTTAGTTTCGTTGTCAAATCTTTACTGGAATAATTATCCATTGTGATTATAATTGTAGTTAAAGAGGAAAAAAAAAAAGTAGGAAGTTGTCTGCAGCAAATGAGACCATACCCTTTGGTTTTTTCAATTAGAAGAATTTATCAGAGAATGTTGAGATATTACGAATGAGAATCCATTGAGTGGAAAAAGAAGAGAGTGAACCTTGATGTATTATGAATGTGCTCACCAGGTACATTAATTAACGCTTTTATATGCATTACATTGAAGTCATTACTTTTTCTTCAAAAAATACCGTGAATTAGAGAGAGATTTCTTTCAAAGTAGGATAAAGTAACACTTGCAATTATTAAACTTCAGCATTCCTAGATGTTAAATACATGAGAAAACTAACCAACCCAAAAGGAAAAGAAGTACATGAGAGAGAGAGACTTGATTTAACTAAGGACTTCGACATAGTAGAAAAGGAACAAAGCAGATATTAGTTCAGTTAATCTTCAATTTTTTGAGGTGTTCATGGTTTGCTTAGGTACATTCTGTTCTCCCACAGCGTCATGTCCATTATCATTCAGTTGCGGAACCACTGGAATTATCTCAGAACACACCATTGCACTAAGCTTCATCACATCGATAATTTGTTCTGTTAATTCGGGAAGCTTGTGCCCCTCCACAGCTATAACTTTGGATTGTAGTTCAGGAAGCTTTTGATCAATAACTTTCTTTGAATTCTTGTATATTACGTAAAGCACCATTTGAAGAACACCGAAGTTGAAACCCAACACGTTTGGAATCTATCGACACAAAAAGAGAAAAGATAATTTGCCTTAGAAAGTATATGTAAATTGGGAAGAGAGTTTGAAGAGTAATCAAACTTACAGCAATGTAATAGTCTTTTTTCAATAGACCATAAAAGAACCACATGACTGCACTCAGTGTAAGGAAGAAAGATAGAAGGAACGGCATGTACTCGACATTTTTGGTTCGAATAACTTGTTTCTGCAGAACATGGTGAAAATAGAGGAAATTATATGAGATAAATACTCTCGAATGTTCTATGTCGTATACTTTGGAAAACTCTTCGGACATGTCTTTACCTATATATTGTACATCTATTTTTTTTGTCAAAATAATAAACTTGTTCACCGACAGACTTACCACAATGCAGAGAGGTGCAACAAATACGCAGAGAGAAAATACCATGCAAATCCATCCAACAATGTGGGCCCGGTTTGATCCTTTTGCGAAAAAATGAGTCAGGAGGATGATCAGACCAAACCCAACAACATTCAGCAAAAGGAGTAGCTTCACTGTCTGTATCTGCATTTGTATTAGTCCAATGTTATTACTTAGGACACCATTGGGGTTTAAAAATTGAGGAAGCTAGAGATAACAAATTAGGGTTCTTTGGATTACTCTAGCTTTCTTTGGGGCATAGAAGATGTAGAAGCAAATATATATGGCCTCAATAAAACAGCCAACTGAGTTTATGGTGATGAGAATGGCGTCGTTGGACTTCAGCAATCCGTAATATATATAAAGCATGGCGCTGAATGAGGCAATCATATATGGAACTGATTGAAACCCTTCGGTCGATTTCTTCTTGTAAATCTGATAGAATGTCGGCCTGTCATAGAAATTTAGAGTTGTTACTACTTACTAGTCATCTAAAACCTCACTGATCAGCTGCAAAAGATGAAGCGTTTGACTACAATATGCAGAAGCAACAAACTAAAGACTTACAGTGGTGCAAGATACACCATGAATGAGCCGATGTCACCTACAACAAACATAGAGTGTAAAGGTAAGCAAAACACAAAAACTATAAAATCAAGCAATATATTTTTCAATAAAAGTTTAGAGAGAAGGTAAAGAGTAACTATAAACGTGTGCATGGAGGGGCCCATGCATGAGATTTGGGTACTATTTAATTTAATGGGCTGAGCTAGGTATACTTAGTTATTGTCATCCATGTTAACTTCTTGGACTCTTTTGGTTTCGGTATAAACAGATAAAATACTAGATTAAATGGTGAATATAAACATTGTTTTGCATTTGGTAAGACCGTTGAACTAAAGTCGGATAGAAAAAATTCTACCTAGAATGCCGACTGCAGTAGCCCAGTAATGACCAGAGTACCCACCCATCTTCTTACAAAATGCTAGAAATTTCTCTCTCTCTTTCCCTCACAAACACACGGTGTCACGCCGACTCACACAGCAATCTGAAGTTGTGAGAACCGTTTATATAGAAGGGGTGGGACATTGAACTGGGCCTAGTTCCAATGGGAGGAGATAGAGAGAGAAGGGATCAACTTAACATTGGACAGTATGATAATTTTTATTGTTCTTTACAGTTGTTCAAGACCACTGTACTCCATTTAACTAAATTTAGATGGTTTTTACTATGCACACAATGAAACATACACCCATTCAACCCCCTATAGTTCCATTGCTGGTACATAACCAAAACCTAAGGGTCCCACCAGGCACTTTCTGATGTGTCAACCACCAATCCAGTTGGTTTTAAGGGTTACAACTCATACTCCAGTTTGTGAAAGGAACAATGCTATTGAGATCTAATTTATTGATTTAATTTGTTGACCTAATTTACTATGACCTTTGAATTGACTGTGGAACCAATCAAACATTAAAATTTGGTATTAATCTAATGGTTCTGCTGAAGTCACATCATTATATCAACAAATTGTGTCAGATTTTTAAGTTCAAATAGTATACTCTTGTGAAAGGGTTTTATGCTTCCATGATTTGTTTCTCTATTTCCATATATTCAGCAAACCCCAGTCCAGAATACTCAAAGAACCAATCAAATTTTGCCATGTCACCATCAGCACTATGATTCTTTTGTGGGTCTCATACTCTTACTTGGTTTAATAGTACTCCTTCTCTTGTGAAAGCTTTGTTTTCTTAAGGTCAATAGATCAAATCCCCCTCTCTCTCCCCCTCCCCCTAAAAAAAGGAGATTAGGTACAACAATAGTCAATATAAGCTAAATTAGTTGATATTCTTTGGTGCGTTATATACTTCAATTCATAAGATGATGGATCAGTTTTGTTTCTAATACTGAAATCAAATGCTAACAAAGAATATAACTTTTGTACATTCTTTCCTGGCAGATTTGTGAGTTCTACCTAAACTCCATACTGATACCATGGCCAGGGGAGTGCCTTGTAGGGCGCATTATCTGAAACTACATATATTTTCTGGGAGAAGGTAGTTCAAGTGGTAATATAGATGAATTATAAGTTTAGACATCTTAAGTTTATATTTTGGTAACCCTTTAGGGTTAAGTCATGAGGAATTTATCCCTTACGAATACTTTAGTTTTGGAGTGAATAACCTGTATTTGACCGGACAGAATTAGTCGAAGCGCGCGTAAGATGGTCCAAATACCCCTCACCGTTGAAAAAAAAAAAGTTAAGAGTGCAATCAAAATATTTTGCAGATGTTATTGTACAAATACACAATGGAAATAAAGAGACAAGGATGAGAGAGATAGAAAGAGAATATATTCTGGGAATACTAGAGGGAAAAAGCCAAGTGAATAATTTTTTTCGGTTACTTTTAGCTAAGTGTTACAATTAAGTGGGTACAAAGAAATGCATAAGTTAGTGTGGACTGGTTCAAAAAATGGAAGGAATTTCCCATCCTTTTCTAAGTTGCCGACATAGCCAGATTTTATGTTCACAATGGGTCAATTGTATCCTGGTGTTTGGAGTGAAGGCATTGAAAGATAGGAGGAAAACCTATCACCAATCAGCCTAGAGTTTCGCTTTCCGTCAACTCAACAGCACGCCCGGACTGAGGATTAAGACTATACCTTCCCTCCAAGCTTCACATAATAAGACACAGTACCTGTGCATAATTGCACCAATTCAAGGGTTCTCCTTGTTAGGCTTCCAAGTTCCAATTAGAGATGGCCAACCCAAGTTACACCAAGTATCCACAGCCGGTACAGTGAATTCAGATAAAGACGATATTTTAGCTCGAGTCTTAACTTGAAAGGAAGGTAAGTCAAACAAAATGCTACGGCTTTACAGCTTTTGCGTTAGCTTTCTCTTATAGTTTCGCTTTCATTTAGGAATGAAAAAGGACGTCCGTCTTTAGGAGATGAACATAATTTCTATCTCTCCTTTTTTTTGATTAAGAACAAAAATTTAAGTTCAAACTGTTTAAATTAAACCCGAACTAGAAAACTAAAGATTCAATGGTACTTGAGTTGTATGATTTGTATTCACTATGGGGTTCGAGTTAAACTCCTCTTAAATGTTTTATAATTTGGATTTGACATTTAAATGTATAATTTACGTTTTTTATTGGCACGAATATTTGCTGCATCAATCTCGAAGATGTGTTTTAATCAAAAAATATAAAATTTTCTAATTTTTAACAAGATTTTTTTATTTTTCGTTGCTGTTTAATTTTTGTATCATACCAACACGACAGTCTTTTGAAATAATAAATATGGGAGCCTTGCAGCAAAACATTGGTTCCATGGTGTAGTGGTTAGCACTCTGGACTTTGAATCCAGCGACCTGGGTTCGAATCCCGGTGGGACCTTTTTGGGCTCCGTGTTTTTGCTGTTGTAGTTCTCATTCTTGGCAATTGTTGCCTGCCCCAACAGTACTGTGATAGATAACTCAACAGTAATGCTACATGGACGAAAAAATTAGATTTGATAATGTCAATCATTTGATAGGTAGTGGGTCTCAATAAATACTGGGGCCTATAGTAAAATTAATAATTATAATTATTAAATTTAATTTTTAAGTTCATGTAACATTGTTCATAACTCAAAGTTCTACCGGGTGTGACAAATAGTTAATTGCTGTGTTGAAGCACATTTTATAGGGCTCATAGAAAATCTGAACTTAGAATATGTTTAAGAGGGTAAATTTAAAAGGGAGTATGAGGTGTGATATTGAAAAACTAGTTATTGCTTCGGACACAGAGTAATAAAAAAATGGTCAACAATAAATATATTCTTATTCATATTTAAAATTAAATTACAAATATAGATGAGAGATGAAGAAACTTAAGCACTAATTATAATAGGAGTGAGCGATGATAGTAGTGGTAATGACGTGGAGATGGTGGTGGTAGTGGTGATGATCGTGAGTGATGGTGGTGAGGCGATAGAGATAGTGGTGGTGGGGTGGAGGTGACGGTTGTGATGATGGGTGTAATGGGGATGGTGAAGGTCGGGGGCGGTGGCGGTGAAGGGGTGGCAACGATGGTAATGGTAAAAGTGGTATGGTGACAACAGCGATGGTGGTGGTATAGGGCAATTGGGTGGAGTGGTTATAGTGTTAAGGTGATTCCAAACACTATTTTTTTTTAAAAGTATTTATGAGCAATTATAAGTATTAAAAACACTTTTAAAAAGTCACCTTAAACACACCTTTAGAAACTTATTTTTCCAGTTAAATTTGGAATGTTAATATTAGCCGTTGGATTAATTTTAAAATAAAATTAAAAGAGATCTTAACTACAAATAGCAAAAATCATTTTGTTTATCTTTTGAAATTTGAATTGTAGTGTACTTTATTATATAGATTTTGGGCTTTAAGCCCTATTTTTAAAGAACGTCCTAAATTTTCATATATTATAAATAGTCTATATAAAAAAATTAAATTCATAAATATTTTAAGCCCTACAAAAAGGCCATATAAAAATACAAGCTCAATCAAAAAAAATTTAAAGTCTCACTTCTAGGAAGACCTTATAATTTACAGGTGTGCAGTAATAGTTCGAACAAAAAAATTTAATTCATGTCCAAAGAAAAAATTTCAATTTAATTAGATTGAACTTTTTAATTCAACCGTGAAATTAAAAGGTCCTATAATTTATTTATTTTTTTAAAAACACTAAGAGTAAAATTAAAGTTACTAAAAAATCTAGTCTAAATTCTCAAAAAAGTTAAGTTTAAACTTATCATCATAATTTTTCAATTATTATTTCTCTCTCTTACCATCAAATGTAAATATGATAATAAAAACTTGAATATAAAATTTTAATTAACATTTTATATTTAAAAAAAATAAAAAATTAGATTTGTTATTAAAGTTAAAAATAAAAAATTAAATTTGTTATTAATATTAAAAATAAACAATATCTCATTTATCGTTACCACATTAGACCTCAAAATGTCTCGGGCACCCCCTCACAATAGATCACTTGTGAAAAAAATTTTAGGGTTAAATGGGGGTGAAGATTGGTTATTTTCGAGAGTAAATATCCATAATGATAACGCTGATTTTCACGGTGTTCAGGTCCGGGCATTGTTGAGGATTTCAGAGAATTCGCCCTCTCTCCGACTCCATCTGCATAACCAAGTGCGATGATCTGCTGTTTGATNACACACCTTTAGAAACTTATTTTTCCAGTTAAATTTGGAATGTTAATATTAGCCGTTGGATTAATTTTAAAATAAAATTAAAAGAGATCTTAACTACAAATAGCAAAAATCATTTTGTTTATCTTTTGAAATTTGAATTGTAGTGTACTTTATTATATAGATTTTGGGCTTTAAGCCCTATTTTTAAAGAACGTCCTAAATTTTCATATATTATAAATAGTCTATATAAAAAAATTAAATTCATAAATATTTTAAGCCCTACAAAAAGGCCATATAAAAATACAAGCTCAATCAAAAAAAATTTAAAGTCTCACTTCTAGGAAGACCTTATAATTTACAGGTGTGCAGTAATAGTTCGAACAAAAAAATTTAATTCATGTCCAAAGAAAAAATTTCAATTTAATTAGATTGAACTTTTTAATTCAACCGTGAAATTAAAAGGTCCTATAATTTATTTATTTTTTTAAAAACACTAAGAGTAAAATTAAAGTTACTAAAAAATCTAGTCTAAATTCTCAAAAAAGTTAAGTTTAAACTTATCATCATAATTTTTCAATTATTATTTCTCTCTCTTACCATCAAATGTAAATATGATAATAAAAACTTGAATATAAAATTTTAATTAACATTTTATATTTAAAAAAAATAAAAAATTAGATTTGTTATTAAAGTTAAAAATAAAAAATTAAATTTGTTATTAATATTAAAAATAAACAATATCTCATTTATCGTTACCACATTAGACCTCAAAATGTCTCGGGCACCCCCTCACAATAGATCACTTGTGAAAAAAATTTTAGGGTTAAATGGGGGTGAAGATTGGTTATTTTCGAGAGTAAATATCCATAATGATAACGCTGATTTTCACGGTGTTCAGGTCCGGGCATTGTTGAGGATTTCAGAGAATTCTCCCTCTCTCCGACTCCATCTGCATAACCAAGTGCGATGATCTGCTGTTTGATATTCTTCCCATCTCCCATCCGACGGACAAAACTGCACATAATCAAATCAACGATGATTTGTAATCAAGACATCCTGAAAATTCAAACTTTGACGATTCATTAAAGTTAGGTCATAAAAAATTTATCTATTATGAATACCCAAATTTTAATATAGATAGCCTGCCATTGACCAGACTAAAAAAAAATTAATGAAAATGAGCATAAACTAATGCAAACATCCCCCGACCGTTCAACAAAAAAAAAAACATATAAAAAGTTGTGGCTTGAGTTGTCCGTGCGTTCAAAACAAGATGAACTCGGTGGTACCAAGATATAACAAAGCTGCCATATTTTTGGAACCATGATAAGTTTTCTAATCATAAAAATCGCTAACGGCGTAGCGCAACTGATCCTAATATGCTATNGTTCAAAACAAGATGAACTCGGTGGTACCAAGATATAACAAAGCTGCCATATTTTTGGAACCATGATAAGTTTTCTAATCATAAAAATCGCTAACGGCGTAGCGCAACTGATCCTAATACGCACATTGCATTAAAAGTCTGAAGAGCATTGACTAGACAAGTGCTATAGCGTTATTCATTTCTGTGAAACACAATTTGATTCTATGAGAATAAATTAATGAAGAACACCAAAACATAAATGATAAGAGGAAAAAACTCAAAATGTAAAAAAAAACGAGGCTTGGAGGGTGTACGACACAATGAAGCTCAGCAACCATTTCATTGTTGATGCTGAGATAGAAGCCCCATCAAGATCTTTAGTGCATGGACTGAAAGCGTTTCACGATTATGAGACTCATATCCATATATCGTTGAGCACAGTGGGAGAGACAAGTTGATTCACCGGAGCTGAACTTGCTTCCAGGAGTACCAGTGACACATTTGTCCCAACACACGCTTGTAAGCTTTGCAACCATTTCATTGACCATGGCCTTTTCCTTCTCTTGCTGCATTGATGATTCATAACAATCAGAATTACATAGTGGTAAGATAGATGATGTGAGGTTCCCAAAAAAACAAATAAAAAATAGTAGACCAACCTTAAGTTAATCATATAGCACATCATCCTATCTTAATTAGTTAGTTTTCTACTGGGATGTCCAATCATTAAGAACAGAAAACAAGGTTGGANTATAGCACATCATCCTATCTTAATTAGTTAGTTTTCTACTGGGATGTCCAATCATTAGTTTTCTACTGGGATGTCCAATCATTAAGAACAGAAAACAAGGTTGGAACGGAAAAACCATATGTGGTATAGATTGAGAGGAGGTTCATCAATAAGTAATGGTCCCTATATGAATGCTTCCAAATGCTGACATTGCTCCATCAAATAATAAATCCTTCCCCCTTCTTATCGACAAATATACTTTAACTAAAGTGGAATTCAACCTCCTGCAATAACCTGAAGTCACATCTATAGTACAGCATCCAACACCTTCCCCAACTAAGCAATTTAGAAGGTCCAAACATACATGCATATCATACAGTATTTAAGTAATTAAACTGATTCAATTATTGCCTATGATACACCCTGGGGGATCCTGGTATCCTACAGATCATTTGTTGCATTGCAACTGCATGTATTACATGTAACTACAAGATTCAAAAGTACAGAAAAATTAACCTAGCCACATTACTTTACCTGTTCGAGATAGGCTACACATCCGACATGCTACTTTCAGAAAAATCCTTATATGTTATCAAAAAGTATCATGTCTTCTCTTCCTATCCCACCCACATTTTACCTGCCTGCCCATCATGATATTTATTATGAAAATATGTGTTCTTCACTACAAATGATCAAAATCATCTCAATCGATACTGTGTTGCTAATTGGTGATACCTCAAGTTGTCTGGAAATCACTATTTCTACCCTTTCCATTGTTGAATTTCATCTATCTCAGCATCCCCATTTCCCTTTTATTTGCTCCTTCAACGTAAATGTTCAACAGCTCTCTATGAGGATGGTGTATCAAAGAGCCCAGAATGTTCAAGAGCTATACCACTATAATCCTCTAACTGCATCAATTGATATAATTCACTTGAAAGGCTTGATTGAACAAATATGCTACCTCACCCACCTCCTTTTCATTTGGCTATGAACAATCAGAAGTCACTAATATCTCTTAAAGCCAAAACACATTTCAAGAATGGGAAGTGCCCAAGGGTAGCCCACAAATGGCTTTTCGTGATGATTGTAATGCCAAAAATTGAGAGCACACATTTCACTAGCATAAAAGGAAAAATCAAAAAAACTTCTGAGTGCATGTGGAAATATCTTAGTCTTAGCTAAAAAGGGTGAAGACACAAAAGAAAATACATAATTCAGGGCACATCCAACAGGACATATAAACGTAATAGGATTGTTTGTAATCCTACCCAAAAAATTGATCCTTAGCGAAAGCTACAATTTCTTCCCTCAATATCTCTTCAATACTCTTTTCTATATTTTTCTGATAAAAAATTACATCATCCTCAACTTCCTTCAAAAACTTCACAAACCTTTAAGCATTTTATGGAGAGGTGAATATATCATCCTTCCATATCTCTTTCCTTGAGTATGAAAGCTCAACTTAAACTTCCGGGACATTTTCCTGTGTGGATATAATAAAACAGACTAAAACATCTAGCTAAAATTTCCTTTTGAACATAACAAAAGAAGCTTTTTTCTAATTTTTCAAAGAACAAATTAAGGCTGAACATTGTACTTTCCCAAGACCCAACACCAAATATTAAAAAGCAAGATTCACTGCTTAAAAAAATAAAAGTATATCTAACACACAGGGAAAGAGCTAAGCCAAGTCATTTCATGACAAGTTATTACTGGTGCTTCCAATATGCACCTTTCAACAGTTTAATTTGTATAATACTGCAAACTTCTGTTGGTGGACTTGAAAATATGGATATACCCAAAACTTTATAATCACTACAATGGTATAGGAGACTCTTTGGGTGGCACCGAGAACTATGTATTCCATGACATGCTTGGATAACATTAGAGGAGGGGGAAATAAACAATGGAAGACTCTTTGACGATCTGCTCGTTTCGCTAATGTTTGGGTTATTTGGTTGAAAAGGAATGCGAGGATTTTTTATGACAAGTGTGTGGAGGTCGAAGGCCTTTGTGAAAGGATTATGTCTTGGCGTACTTTTGAGCATTGGCCACAAAAGGATTTGAGAATATACCTCTTTTCAGTTTTCAGCATTACCTTGAGTTGGACAGCTTCTTGTGATATAGTTTTGGAATCTTTCTAAGTTGTATTTCTATTTCATTTTAATTTGACATGTCTTTGGTTTGGACAACTTGCTTACCTTTGACTCGTCTCCTTTGTACTTTTTTTTTTTTATCTTTTATAACTAATAATACCATCATTTCTCATCAAAAAAAATAGACAGTTTAATTTGCTCATGTTTATACACATGACACGTTAATACGAGTACACAACACAAAATTAGAGAATTTTGATCTTCTTTAAGCCACTCATTTGATAAACGAATGGACCCGACACCACACAATTAATAAACAAATCAAATATATCCATGACATGACTCATTTATATACCGATTATATAATATTCATCCANGACACGTTAATACGAGTACACAACACAAAATTAGAGAATTTTGATCTTCTTTAAGCCACTCAAAGAATGGACCCGACACTACACAATTAATAAACAAATCAAATATATCCATGACATGACTCATTTATATATCGATTATATAATATTCATCCATAACATGAACTCGATATAACAACTCCTTCAACACGAATTAATAATCAAATCAGATATAACGGATTGCTTTCTAACATGAATCTGCTAAGACCCGATACAAATCTTCTTCATCCCACACATATAAAATATGAATTTTCCTCCCACAGAATGGCACAGTCGCATTACACTTTAAAAGGCAAACAGTATAGCATCAATTCAGAGGTTGCGTGCGTGCGCGTGTGTGTATGTTGATATGCTTTATACACAAAAGGAGGAAACCTACATTGATGAAGTGCTGTAATTCGGGCGAGTTTAGAGCTGANAGAATGGCACAGTCGCATTACACTTTAAAAGGCAAACAGTATAGCATCAATTCAGAGATTGCGTGCGCGCGCGTGTGTGTATGTTGATATGCTTTATATACAAAAGGAGGAAACCTACATTGATGAAGTGCTGTAATTCGGGCGAGTTTAGAGCTGCAGGGTCCATGGCCGGTAACTCAAGACTACTACTGATTCGGTCACTCTGAGCTGCTCTTTACGTCTCTGCTAAAACCCTAACAAAGCCGCCTAGGAAGAACAACTAGCAAGGGTATACTATCAAAAAAGCCCACTACATATAAATAGACCATAATAGCCCAAGTTAAAATGCCGGACGGGCTCAAGGCCTAGGTTTAGACCATGGCCCATTCTATTTTATTCCTTAAAATTTTTAATTGTGATTCTTATATTTAATTTTTTCAGACATAAAAAATAAACATTGTATAGTAAATCAAAATTATAATAATATTTTTATTCATTAATTATTATGGAATATGTATTTACCAGGATACCCTATGCAAAACATGATTTTCGTGTACCGTGGTTAAAATATTTACCATAATTAATATGTTTACCATGATAAATAAATATTTATCGTAGTTAAAAATTAAAAGTATAATATATTGTGATTAAATAGTTAAAGTATAAGTTGTCATATTCAAACAATTTGGGTCGATATTTGAGTTTTTTGGGTATACTTTGAGAAGCTTTAAATGCTAAAAATGTATAAAATTATGTTTTATTATATAGGTTGTTTAGGATGATCGGGTCAACCCATATAGGGGTGTCAATTTGTGTTATGTCTTCGTGCCTTGGTATCGTAATTCGTGTCAAAATTTATAAAATAAAATTTTATGTATTATGTTATAATTGTCAAACATTAATCTAATCAATTTATTTTTACGCATTTATTAGTTATGTAAATTTTAAAATTACATCATGTGGGGTTCATATCGTATTTGTGTTGATGGGTCAGATTGACACTGACCCATGGACCAAGGTGCCAATATCAAGTTTTACTTCAGTCCTACGCACAATGCTAATCATGAATAACTTAAATTATATTATAAGTAGGGGACTAAATTGATCAGCTAACTTAATTACTCCATCACCATTACATGGAGCAACAAAAGCAGAGGTTTTCCCAAACTCACGACTCCTCAAAACTTAATTCTCAAAATCAATCTGTTTTTAAAAATGTCATTGGAAATAACGTCTTCTCAGATAAAAACGTTATTTGAAATGACGATTTCAAGTTTTAAAATTTTTTCTTGAAAACGTCATTGACGTTTTTTAAGTCGTCATTCAGAATGACGTTTTTAAACATGATTTTTTTAAACGACACTAACAGACGTTAAGAATTACAAATGGCTTGAAAACGTCATTTACAATGACAATTTTAACGTTCAAATTAATTTCAAAATATCACAGGCTATTATATGCTTCTACTTAAATTAATTTCATATATCATAGCTACTCTCACTTAACTCTCCTCCGCCTCAACACTACTCTCAGTCGGACAAGACTCCGACGAACCAGTGACCATAGCCTCCACCACCAGCGAGCACAGCCTCCAACGAGCTCCAACCGGCGACCACAACCTCTAACTAGAGACTTCCATTCGATTTTGCAACTAGCGACCAGCGACTTCCAAACTGCGACCAACCTCCAACCAGCTGAGCAGTGAGTACATTGTCTATTGTCCATATTTGTCGTAACTATTTTTTGCCCAAAATTGAATTTTGCCCTAAATCGAATTTTGCAAAACATTTTCCCAGGTTTTTTTTTCTTTTGGAATTGTTTGGTCCTCTTATTTTATATTGTTTTCCATCTTTGTCCAGAATAATGTTAAGCCGTATTATTCCTAAGAACATCAGATGTTTGTTATATGTTATGTGAATACAGATAAATTTGTTCATCCTAATATTTTGGCTGTTATATGTAGTGATTTTCAACTTTATTTTTTGTATTGGAGGTCCTGTTTTTGTTGTAAATACATGCCAACGACAACCAACAACTGTCTCATTTCATTTGCATTCTCTTTCTGCATATTTTTTTGGATACTTCACTGCATTCTTTGAAGTTATATCTTTCATTTTTGTACTTTGGAACTCCTTGGTTCAATCAAAAGGGAGCTTCATTGCAAGTGATATCTATACTTGGTTTATTTTAATTCAGAATGATTTAATTTTTTGCAAATAAGAATTTAAACTTTGTCTTGGAGAGGTGTGAATTCATGTATTTGTTTCCGTGATATAGCTAATTCGGAGGAGAAGTATATTTGTGATTATCTTACTAATCCCCAGCAATCGCACTCTCTTTGATGTAGTCGAATTAAATAATTTATTCACAATGCTTTTTCTTGTTGACTTTGCACTCTATTATTAATAGGGAACCCACTGGTGGCGAAAATTTTGCTTAGAGATAATTTCGATGCAAATTTTGATATCTACTCGCTTGATTCATCACTGATACAACATGGATTGACACCCAAGATCCAATCTTTGGACGGAGTTGGTGTTACTAGAATGGTCAATACACTAAATCCAATTTGTTATTTTCATAATTTGTTACAACCATAGATGTTAGGTTGGCCTGCAAGTGTTCAACCATGGACTCATCCCATCAACTCACGGATATTAACGAAACAAATATGCACCTTTGAATTTCATTCATTTGCAATGTATATGGTAAAAGAACGACTCATGCCATCAACCCCCATCGTTACACCGATGGCATGTCTTTGTTTAGTAGTAGTTTTATGAATTTAATGTGTCTTACATATAGAATGCCTATGTTTATGTGTATATTAGTGATAATTTGATTATTTTAATGGATAATTATGTATTATCGTCCTACGGATGTAATATATTGCATAAGCGGGTGGGTAATTTGTATCTTTTCCCTGAGATGAAATTTTACGTGAATCCAAGGTTTAATCCGAATGGTGTTTATGTTGGCTTCAAGTTTATCTATATTAATGATGTCAACATTTTTTTATTTTTTTTATTTTACAAAGTGAAACAACAATGCAAAAAATTCTGAGGGCATGTTTACATTTGTTGCCCTCAACTACAATATGATTTATTATTACGGTTGTGAATAGAGTTGTAACTATTTATAATTACGATAGTTCAAAAAAACTCTTAGTTTGTGCTCATAATAGCAAATTTGATGCAGACTTCAATCCAATTGTATAAACAAGTTTATTAGAACTCTATGGTTATGATGTATATTGTTATGTGTATTGTCGTTGATGAATTATTGATTTTAAACTTTTGGCAAAATGAAATTTTGAGCCTTGCTTTGTATTTTAATTTAGCGCTTGCATAATTTTGGTTTGAATATTTTGCTTAATCATTATTTGTCACAATAGTGCTACCTCAGTTTGTTACTTAATATGATCCCAATTTTTGATCAACCAAATAATTCTTTAACAAATGACCCTAAAAAAAAAAAAACACCCCTAACAATACTCTTTGATGTAATCCACATTTTAAACTGAGTTTGAAATAGTTTTTTTTCCCTTCGGTCATCAATCTCATTTAAGCAAGTGCCTTCGTTTGCATAAACAACACTTATCCATGTGATTAAATCTTCATTTGATAATTAGTTATCCTCAAGTAATAAATTGCATCACATAAAAATTATTAGAGGATATGTTTAGAATGAGAAAACTACTATCATATCGCATTAGGAAAGTTCTATATTTCTCTTTATTTATTATAATAAATAATCTCTTAAACTTAGCTTCACAACTAAACTTTGGGCATTCAACTTTGAATAATGGTTTTCAAAGTTAAATACTTTTCTTTTGTCATTTTTTTATTTGATATTAGGTTTTCACTTAATTTGTACAATTGAAAAGATGACATATGATATTTAATTCACTCTGAAAAACTATATGTTCAAGTAGTTCGCGTGCAACGCACGCGTGCACCACCTAGTGTTAAAAAAGGATTGGAGAACATTTGAATCTCACCTTTTTCTGTTGCTGTAGATGATCAAATTCCAATATAATTTAAATGATTTGCTTTGAAATCCCTTTGTTGCACTGTTTGTATTTGTCTTTTTACTAAATTTTGGCTTTTTTTTTGTTTTTGAAAAACATGTATGGCATTACATTACAATGCAAAACTTGAAGAGTTAATGCTTTAATGACTAATGCACCGACTCCCACGCATACGCCAACTTCGACATTGCCACCAATATCGGCATTTGCATTTGTACTTGAGCATACACTGACACCTGCAACAGCACATGCATCTATATCTACCACGGAATCAACACCAACACCAACCTCGCCATCTACCCCGGCACCCGGACGGGCACATGCACCGATAACGGTAGCGGCATGTACACCGACACCGACACCAACATGTACACTGACACATGCACCGACACCTACACCGACCCCAGCATTTACCCCGACGACGACACCGGCACCGGCATCTATAGTTGAGCATACACCGACACCTACACTAGCACCGGCATCTACCCCGACACTGGCTGTAGTTGCTTTGAGGCCTACCTCATCTGGACAGCCGCCCGTATCAGATCCATTGTTACGTGAGGAGTGAGTGACACAGGAGCCTACAGTTGTAGGTGTAGGTCTTGTGTGAGTTGGGCCGCGAGTTAGAGGTAGATGACAAGATCGAGGATGAGGGCGAGGGAGAGGGCATGCATAGCATGCACATCATCACGATGATGTAGGTGTGTCACAAGTTGTACCCCAGGATGATGAGCAGGAGGTTCGCAAACATCTGAAGCGACGTAGGCGACCACCTGTGTGTGGAACATGATGTTCATGTATTTGTTGGCTTTTTTTTTCTACACTGTACAAATATTTTCTTTTATACATAGATTGTTAATTACACAATCATGTTTTGTTATAGTATTATTCAAGCAAATAACATTCAATACTCTAAAGACATGTTTGTTAAATACAATAACACAAATTATTGAAATTTAGATGGACATTACAAACTGGAGTAGTATACCATATTTCATAGAAACAAAATACAGAAACATAATAGATAAACATATTACAAACACAAGTATAACGACGAAAGTGTAAATATTACAACACAATATTTTCATGACACTTTTTCATATGTCTTCATATTCGTCAGACAAATAATGATCAGAAATACATCCATCTTCACCACT